GCATAACTGCTACAAGTAGAAAACTATTTTGGGGGTGTTAGCAAGTGCTTACTTGTTTTTTCTTTCTGCGGCACAAACGATTATAATATCTTCGTTACTTACTTTTCTCTGTAAAGACAAAATACATGCATATGTACATACATATATAAATGCATATATACATAAATAAATACGTACATACAAACATATATAAATATGCATGTTATGTGTGTACACATGTATGAATATAACTCTAAAAAATAATTCATTCCATAATCTATGCTTATGTATGTAATCAATTTTATTTGTTGTTTTAAATGCTGCCCTAATATAATACTTCACATATATATATGCATATGTACATACAATTATTAACATACTTTCGTACATAATCTATTGACATACATTCCCACATTTTTATGCACAAAAATGCATGTGTTGTATAGTACACTCGGAGCGCTCGCTCGTCGCTCACTCGTCTTTCCTAGCAGAGTGAGTATGCAGACAGCTACTCGCCTCGCACTGCGAGCGAGGCAACACCCAACAGCCTCGCTCATTTAATAGGAGCGCGAGCAAACAAGCAGCGCTCGCTCGTTTGGCGAGCGAGCCAAACTTCTCATGCCTGGCCTCATTGCTGCTACGAGTACGAGCTGCGAGCGCCTCGTTGTCTGCGAGGCATTGAGTAGGAGTTTGCTCACTCGCTCGCTCGCTCGAACTCCGAGTTTTTGCCCACCCTGGTTTTATAGCCCATTCAATGTTAGTGTAATAACGTGCAAGTTTCAAGTTGCTAAAAGTTACCGTTGATTTTTTAGAATTTTTTTACCGAAGGTGTGTAGCGCTGCTACTGAATTTCAAAATACGTAAATATTTCAAGAATTTTAAAAGAACACCCAAAAGGGGAAAATTATAAAAAAAAATTGTGAATGGGGCACGAAAAATTGAGGTACTTAGGCGGGTTGGGTAATTAAGCGGGGAGGTACTTAAGAGAGGGATTTTCTTCGGATTATATTAAAAAGTTCACGGTGTCCAAAAATGTTGGTTACTTAAGCGGGTTAGGTGCTTAAGCGGGGGGTACTTAAGCGGGTTTCACTATATTTCAGTTCTATATTAGTTGTTTTCGATAACCAAATTAGCCATCAGTAGCCAAAAATCCAAATCAAGAGGGCAAGCGAAAATCCTCTCCAAAATGAGAGGAAAACCAAACAAGTTAACGAAGAGAAATTAGCCATCCCTTGCAAAAACAGGAAGAATAAGGCAAACCAGCTGACTTTTATTTATTTGGTCTACAGAAAAATGTTTTCTTACAGACAAATGAGAATAGAACATTTAGATATTTAAGTATGTGGGATATATTACAGAGTAGACTAATTATACATATTTATTTGTAATAATAATAATAATAACAATAATATAAAATAGCAGGTTTGGTAGCTGGCGAAGCCTAGTCTTCCACTTTTGTGTGCGGCGGGCACATAAGACCTAGTTTCCTCTGCGCGCTGCGGACAGGCTGTTGATCATGGTCGGTAAGGCCTGGTTTCCGATCCATGTTCCCGAAGACATTACTTTGTATGTGTGGCTGGTGGAAAGCTCTAGTTTCCGCTCCGCGCTATGAACAAGCTGTTGATCATGGTCGGAAAGAACGAGTTTACGATCCATGTTCCCGAAGTCATTACTTTTAATGTTTGGCAGGCGGAAAGCTCTAGTTTCCGCTCCGCGCTATGAACAAGCTGTTGATCATGGTCGGAAAGAACGAGTTTACGATCCATGTTCCCGAAGTCATTACTTTTAATGTTTGGCAGGCGGAAAGCTCTAGTTTCCGCTCCGCGCTGTGGACAAGCTGTTCATCATGGTCAGAAAGAACGAGTTTCCGATCCATGTTCCCGAAGTCTTTACTTTGAGTGTGTGGCAGGCGGAAAGCTCTAGTTTCCGCTCCGCGCTGTGGACAAGCTGTTCATCATGGTCAGAAAGAACGAGTTTCCGATCCATGTTCCCGAAGTCTTTACTTTGAGTGTGTGGCAGGCGGAAAGCTCTAGTTTCCGCTCCGCGCTGTGGACAAGCTGTTCATCATGGTCAGAAAGAACGAGTTTCCGATCCATGTTCCCGAAGTCTTTACTTTGAGTGTGTGGCAGGCGGAAAGCTCTAGTTTCCGCTCCGCGCTGTGGACAAGCTGTTCATCATGGTCAGAAAGAACGAGTTTCCGATCCATGTTCCCGAAGTCTTTACTTTGAGTGTGTGGCAGGCGGAAAGCTCTAGTTTCCGCTCCGCGCTGTGGACAAGCTGTTCATCATGGTCAGAAAGAACGAGTTTCCGATCCATGTTCCCGAAGTCTTTACTTTGAGTGTGTGGCAGGCGGAAAGCTCTAGTTTCCGCTCCGCGCTGTGGACAAGCTGTTGATCATGGTCGGAAAGGCCGAGTTTTTGATCCATGGTCGTATAGTCTTACGCGGTCGCGAAAATATACGAAGCCGATTACAATTGTACTAAGCAGTCATAGATATTGTGTAATTTATCGTTCCCGGTTAAAGATATTAATTTATTTAGTTACAAAAAAGCGATTCAGATATGTAGAAGCAATCATAGTGTTTGTTACAATCTTGGCATAACCATCGTAAAGCATCATGCATTTCAAAGTTTGATTTACAAATGCTCAACACAACCGTGGCACAGTCGGGAAAGTATGCGAGTCGACCACGTTTACCTCACAAACAGAACAGAAATATAGTTCAGCTGAACGATAAGGTGTATTGTAAGGGTTTACATGTTATTTATTCAAAATCTCAAGTAAGGTTTTCTTAATGGTAAAAAGTGAGTCGGAGGTGTCAAAATAGTCGTAATGATTATTAAAGTCCTGGCATAGGCAACGAAAAGCATCATGCATTTCAAAATTTGTTCTACAAATAGTTAGCTTAATGGGCATTAAATGTCTAGAAGGCCTAAAAGGAATACAAAACGTGATCTGGTTCAGTATAAAGGGACTATTGTCCATCCCGTTGTTTATGTTTTGTTTGTAAACAAACTGAAATTTATGTTGCCGCAATGGAAAAAAGGAAAGTCAGTGTTCAGTGTTCGCCTGGAACATTTCTGGAAGTAAGAACTAGTTAGCTCTATCATAATCACATAGCAGGCAGCCAAAAAGCGTATAAACTAGCAAAATTCGAAAAATTCTATTTTTTTTTGCAAAAATTGCAACCATATATTTTCTGATCATATGTTTTTGCTGGCTAAATTTTTCAAGCAAAAAATGAACGTTTCTCTAGCACTAAAATTAACGTTTTCTCTCAATTTTTTGAGTGATGGATAATTTTGTGTCGTTATCGAACGCCAACTTGTAAAAATTAGGAACTGTTAAAAAATTTTGTGTTATTGTACATTGAGACAATTCATTAACATTTGAGTGGTTATCCTATGATAATTTCCATTTTGAGAGGAAAAAAACTTTAATTGGAATTTTTTTTCTAAATTTACTTGGAATCATAAATTTTCGTCCTTCAAAATCTAATATTTAGTTGAAGCTCCCTTTCACTTTAATCATCTCCTGACATCTTCGCCTGCATTTTTTCGACTAGCCTCAAATTCAACTTTCTTAAAAATTTTCTAGATTTTCTAGTGCAAACCGTAAATCAATATGCATCAATTGATGAAAAACCGAATGTCGATTCTTGAATTTTTTGTATCGATTCACTGATCGAATCGAAGCTAGGAAATCGACAAGAAATCTAATCGAAAGAGCTTGATTAATCGATCTTCGATTTAATCGATTTAAAAACGGCATACGCTAGAGATAGCTCTGTGGTAAGCGCTTCTGACTTTGCACATCGATGATGCGGGTTCGATCCTTGGTGCAGTCTAGGAAAAGTGGTCTGATGAGGAGATCTGGCGATCTTCGAAATAGCAGCTATAACTTCTACCGCTAAGACTTTGTTGCTTTTTTCATTTTTCCTAAAAAACATATACGTGGTACAAAGCTAAATCACTTTAATTTAAAAAATATCTCGACGCGTTGTTGGCTATTTTTGAATGCGCACTAGTATAAAACTGTTTTTGTCCTTATTATTACAAGCTTTCTGTTTCGCCTGTGTGTTATCTCGCAATCAATTTTTAACCAACTTATCGATGAACTAGCTACTTGAAGCTTGAATCTTGTGCCTGGGACAAACATGTGGTATAGAAATTTGCCGTTGCTACGTAGCAACTACAATGATTTGTAGTATGAGAATGTGGTATTGATCGTAATATTAATACCATACTACTATGTGTATTTCTAGCATTGGCTCAGAAGCCGATGACAAGCAACATGAAAGATTAATTAATCCCCTATGTGGCGCAGCTGTCGAGATATTTGGAAAGCCCGTATTTATGATCCGATTTGTTACATTTTTACGACGTATATTACTTAAATAGGAAGAAATATCTGCACCGAAAAATTAGCTGTTAGTTGGTGCGGCATCAATTTTCTTTATGATAAAAGTTTGTCTTTAAAAACCTTTTTTTAATAACCAGTTTTTTCCATTTCAAATTGGGTGAAGGGCACCTTAAAGCGCTGTTTTTCTTTTTTGTAATGCAAAGACTACTTCGCTTTAATAGGTTATTAAATAAAGTACTGTTTGATAACATTAGTTTACAGTTGATTTCAGTAAAGTAGAACGAATGTATGCAAAACTGTGCTACCATAAAAAGGAAGTAAGGCTATGGCTCCTAATATTTTTTCCAACACTGTACATATGTGCATATGTCTTACGAGTATAGAAAAGAATTCACACCAATATTCATTCAATATAATTTTAAAATTACATTAGCTTATATTTTTGTTTAAAAATAATATTTTGTAGAGATTTTCACCAAGCGGTCATGTACGTCTTTTTCTAGAACTCTGCCTGACACAGAAAAAAACTCTTTTACTAGTTGCTGACCTAGCTGGTATGTTTTAACTTTGCCTTGAAAGGTTTCTAAGAAGTGGCAAAACTTTAGTTTTTTTTTTAGTTGCAAAACATCGTCACAACTTTTGTTTTCTAATTTTCTGATAATTGAGAGATACACAACGGTGTCGTAAGTCTCGTATTGTTGTATGTCGAAAATTTAAAAACTTAAATAAATGTTTAGAGAACTTGAAACCAAAACCAACTATTTTTTACACTATTAAGTTAAACAGTAGTAGTTTACGATTTCATTTTCATTGAGAATACGCACACATACATACGTACGTATGTGAAAACTACGTGATTGACGGAAAATCTAACTCACACACGCTCACGCCAGCAAAAATTTCAGTCAAGCATGATCACGGAAATTACGTGATTTTTTCTCAAAACCGCTCACGCTTACACGTGAAAATGCGTAACACGCGGGGTTACGTGTTTTCCCATCTCTAACTGAGACTACATATTCACCTTTATAGTTTTTATTTGAAGAATAAACTTTAAAACATTTCATTAAGGAAAAATAATCGGTTATATGTTCTTATTTACTGATTTTACACCCAAAAGAAATCCTGCGTCATTCTGGTCAGTGGTAGAATACCAAACTAAATGGCTAGTTTTAGATTCAAGCTCTCTAGCACTACTTATTGCGCTTGGTTTGCTTACATACTACGTTACATAAATCTTAAAATCCCTCAGTTCTCAGCATGCATCAACCCTATCTAACTTCTTTTAAGTTTTAGCTCATCACTCGTCTGTCTTCACCGTAACGCGGAAATCTGCTATATACGATTTTATGGATTCATAGATTGATAGCCTCGATTTAGAACAGATAGCATTCATGCCTATCGTAGTAGTACAGACTACGGCACTCGGCAGCAAGTCTGAAAAAATCGAGCCCTGAAGTTGAAATCCTTCAAGTCGTTGTTAAATGCCTTGCCTTTCTGCATACATGCATACATACATACATATGTACATGTATATTTATTATAAAATGCGTCATATATGTATGCGTGTGTCTGACGTTTAATAGGAATCACCTCCCAATAATGTGTTGCACTTTCATTCAGGCACTTCGGTCGGAGGGATTTAAACTCCAAAGAGTTTGCTTTCAATTCTTTAAAGTTTTAACATTTCTTTTCAACTTCGATTTTATATCCACAAAACATACCTTCACACATTCATACATATGTAGTTGTTTGATTTTTTCTCCTTGCATTTGCGCTCTTTCCTCTTTGTTTAGTTGCCATATCGTTTGTGTTGTCTACCCCAGCTACTTGGCCTTGTCAACGCCACTGGCATGAACATTGCAGCGTCGTCGTCACCATTGAAACCGCATTCGCTTGGTTCATTGTTCCAGGTATACCTACTACACACATTGCAGAACTTAAAAGACTACACTCTGGGCTTATAGCCTAAGCATATAAGAAGATTCTGCAGTATCCCGCTTAAAAAA